AGCTAAGCTGTATACTCTGAGTATTCTGACCTTTAAGTATTTACAATGAAAATGTGTATTTTAAAAGGAAATGCGTGCCTTTTTAATTGAAAATCAAAAATAAAAATTAAATTATACATCATATATAATTAAAATATGGAGTACAAATATCAAATATGATATAGTTTGCTATTTTATAATGTATACACTATATTTCCAGTGGTAGGCCATGTAAAATCACAGGGGGGGGCTGTGCATGATCGCAGCTGAGAAAGAGGGTCTTATAGCAAAACGACCCCCCCCAAAACAAAACATTTTAAATACAATTGTAGATTGAGCTGATCTGCAACGCGCCTGGAAGTCCAATATTCGAAGAAAAATCCAGAAATGTTTTTCCTCGAAAAACGTATTTCTCTTCCACTGAGGAATGAAAGACATGGATATCTTGGATGACTTTGAGGTGAGTAAATTATCAGTAAAAGTTTCATTTTGAAGTGAATTAATCCTTTAACGTGCATGTGCATGTAAAGGCAGACGTCCCAAAACTTTTGGCACTGTAGTGTAATTAAAGTGACCATTCAACAAGAATTTACACTGTTCTTGTATTTTTAAAGGGCATTGCATGTTATTTTAAGTTGGTTTTATATTAAATATCACATCACTTTATAAAGAAAAATACAATTGTGTGCTGTAGAAAATGACCATTCAACAAGTATATGAGATAAGCTAACTAAATTCTCGCATTGATTGATAGCTTACATTTGTGCATTGACTCTTAACCATGCAAGGCATGCACAGCACCAATGTGCATGTATGTGGGAAATAATAAAAGCAGCGAGAGTTGCTAGCCCGCAGCTCACACCCTTTGACTAACATCCTGGACAGACATCTGTCTGCAGACAATCGCACACACGTGTCATATCAAAGCATGAATTTGGATGAGCAAACTCTTTATTATAGGCTACTATAGCAAGGGCAGTGATGTAGTCAACTTCAGTTTTCAAATGCCAGAAATTAGACCTTGATATCTGTGAACAATGTGTGACCTTGGATTGTGATCATGCTGTCATCAGATTTTATTAAAGCATGTAATAAGAGGAGAAATGAGGACATGGGAAGGCATCATGGCACAACCATGCAGCGTTATGGAAAAACACCAACCTAAGGATCACAATCGGTTGGCTTTTGCTGTGATTGGCAGACACGTTTAGCTCAGCATTGTTGCCATATCAGAGTTTGGATATCTACCCCCTCTTTCTTTTTCTTCTTCTTAAGTTGATCCCAAAGTTTTGAGTCTAGGAAGATTATCCCCCCTCACAAGGCCACTGACCCTATGTGACCTCACTTGCACTACCTACCTATATCTGGAGATTTTGTTTTAGCATGACAACCATGGGACTGAAACTTAAAAAAAAACACCTGGGAAATTATTTATTGTTTGAGTCAGTCATCGAGGTCTTTGATGGAACGGCATCCGTTTGCTTTCCAGTATAGTAACGTCACGCAAGCAGAAGTCTCCGTCCTTATTAACAACGCGCATGCGCAAGATCAAATTCGCGATGAGATGTAGAAATGAATAATAGAGCGTGGAAGGGCAATTTGAAGGGTTTCCTTAAATGGGCGCGGTTTAATGTAAAAAAACTTGCATTGCACTGGTCTTTGGACAAGTCTAAATATTGAATCTTATTTTTAAGACTTAACTGGGTATTTTTTTGTGAACTTTGTAATGTTTTTCATCACCATGATTCGGAAGTAAATTAAATTGTAGTACACACCACTGCTGAATACCAGCATTAGCAGCCACGTGATACCTGTTACAGTTTTATTCGCCTGGTAACCATGGATTAATCATAGTCGTTTGTGATTAAACTGGATGCGAATCATTATAGAAATTGCTTGAAATAATTTACTTTATTGTGTCAGGTGCCAATCATTGAAAGCTAATAGAAAGCGTGTTCATGAGACAAAAACATGATAGTTTTGATGAGACTCGATGTAGGTTACAGCTTTCTGTGCCCCCTGGTGGTGTCTGGTAAACTCTTATTACCAAGCAACATAATTGCCGCCCCATGGCGCGATGCTCGCGACGCCGAGCGATATGAAGCGAGCGTGTGCTTGTCTCTTTAAGAAACACTCCTGTTGCACGAGAGCCTGGTGTTTTTCCACTCTCTCCGTTATTACATGCGCTCCCATATAAGACAGAAGTCGGGGGGAGAGGGCGTAATGATTATTTCTCTTGCTTTGTAGCCCTCACCACAAGAAAGAAGACAAAAGAACAAGAGACTCGGACAGACTTGAGCAATAAATTGCATTGTCAGGTGAGTGACACCTTGCAGCCATCATGACAGTGGAGGCTGATTAAGCGCATCTTTATATATACATCTGATTTATGTTTCAACATCCTCGTTTATTTTTGTCTTAGGCAGATACATAGTATTTTTTTCGATTAAAATATATGTTTATTTGCGTCTTTGAGAAGCGTATTTTTTTGTGTAGATTGAATTATATTTTTAAACTAACTCATTTTTTGGTACAATAACGACACTTGGTCACTGCTTTAAATTTAAGAATATTTATAAATATTTTCCCATTCAATAGTTCTTAATAGAAATAACATTTTTTAATTATTATTATTATTATTATTCTTTTTTACAAATAGCCTACATTATCCCCATATTTCAGGTTTCTGGCATTGTATTAAAGCTTTGTGTCTTAGTTGTTGCGCACAAATGCTCTTTCTGCCCAAGTGCTCTCACAGGCTTTACAAGATCAGTGTCATTAATATTAAATGCATATCAATTTTATTTTTGATGCACTGTAATTAAAGCTACATTTTAAGTACTGGTTAACATTGTACCAGTCTAATACATCTCCGGTGACTGACAGCACCCTCAGGACCATCACAAAGCATCATCCTCATAGCGCGTGCTTTAACCGGTCAATAAAATGTAGGTTAATGTGAATTTATTCGGCACTGCTCGTGCATGTAAACACTGACACCGCTGGAGATGGATCGCTCTCAAACCTGTCTTGTGAATTCGCCAGACAAAATGTAGGTTATTGGGACATAGTCACGATTTTAACTTCTTATCATGTCTGTTGGCCTGGTAGTGTAAATATATGCATGATATGCATTAGAGATATAATTGGTTCACAAATGCATGTTCATCTTTTGCTCTGGCTCGTGCAATGTCTTTGTAGCATAACTTGGAATACAAATTTGTTTGGGAATTTATTCCGAATCCGTTGCTCGGGTTTCCAAATTAAACACTCACAAAAATGTAATTTGATTAGCAGCGCGCGCCGGAAAATTAGGGCACGTGCGTGATATTATTCAGGTTTCATTTTGAGACCAGACAGGTTTAGATTTAAGCATGACATGCAGTGCTTGTCTTCACTGCTTGATATATGTGCCACCATCCATACCTATGTGGCAGTGGTATACACTTGATTATGATGGTCATATTCTTGTACTTCAGCGAGCCTAGCAAGGTATTATATGTGGTTACACTTTATTTAAAGGTGTCACTGTTAAAGTGTAATTATTAGGGCTGTCAAAACAAAAGATGAATCGCAATTAATTGCATCCAAAATAAAAGTTTGTGTTTACATAATATATGTGGGTGCACTGTGTATAATAATTTTGTATATATAAATACACACACATGCATGTATATTTAAGAAAATAATATTATTTATATATAAAATATTTATATTTACATATAAATTTATATACATATACATGAAAATATTTCTTAAATATATACAAGCATGTGTGTGTATTTATATATATAAAATAATTATACACAGTGCACCCACATATATCATGTAAACACAAACTTTTATTTTTGATTAGTCGTTTGACAGCCTTAGTAATTATATATCTTAAGTGCTGAGTATTATAAATGAACAAAATCGTACTTACTATAGGGTTAGGGTAGGGTTTGGTTGACGGTTAGTTGCATGTAATTTTGCACAATTTACTGTTATTATGTTAAGTAGCCTACATGTAACTAGGACACTGTAAGATAAAGTGTTGCCAATATGCTATAGAAATGCAAAAAAAAAAAAAAAAAAAAAACAAGGTAATATAATTGCACTATGTTTTACAACTGGTTCTTTTTTTTTAATCCCTAACCTTTACTGATGTTGTACAAAGTTGGCAAAGTATTCTGCTCATACTTAAAAAGGTAAATCACTGTTGGAATGACTAGACAACAATGAACTTCATAGTGTCTGACCTTCCATAATTAATGATGGCGTTAGAGTAAGTGCTGCCGTTTCTGTTTATAATATCCCATTTGCTATGATTTGGTGTTCGAATATAAATGGACATTAGAGCATTAAAGCTTTTAGCCCCATTCCTTTGTGTAGTTAATACACCCAATATTGTGTTTCATATTTGATGGTTAGTATAAAGAGTGTCATTTATAACCTTCAGGGGTTTTAAACAGCAGAATATTCAGACAACGTTATGTCTCAGCTTGTGGCCTTCTGATACGTTGTCTCATTCTTCGTTGTCTCATTGATTAAACGTGCATTTGCATAGCTTGTTTTGCTAGTGAGATATCATTGTTTACCTATATCAAGGCTAATGAGAGGTCTGGAATGTTTTGAAGGTCATTATTGGGGTCAAGGTTCATTGAAAGCTGATGGTGGCTGAGATAGCTGAGCAGTGAACTGGCCATATTTCTTTGCTCATGGTCAAGTAGTCTACACTGGGACAACAAAGGGTATTTAACTAGCAGTCTAGCGTTCTCAGTCAGCTTTCCCAGTGGATCTGACAAATCCGTCAAGTCAACTTTGTTTTTAAAGTGCTTTATACAACAGAAACAGGTTCAAAGCAGCTTCACAACTGGAAATGAAGGATGCTGCTGTATTTAGACAATAGTTTCATTATTCTACTCAAGTCAGTTCAGCGTGAGGGTGTGTTCACATTTGTAGTTCCCTTGGTCCTTTTGGTCCGGACCAAAAAAGAAAATGATACATTTAGTCCTGGTTGCATTCCCACTGACATTTTTAACACCAAACCTAAAGATACAAAACAAAAAAGATGGCTTTTATGATGTATATTTTGTGACGGGACTTCCAAAACAATGCTAAATGCGCTCACTGTATGTGCTTAGCCTACGTATAATGGTATTTTGCTGTGAGGAGACGCGGTTGACGAGACTATATGACGAGAAAAAACTGAGTATGCTTGTCTTTGGTCCATGTCTTTGGTCCATGTTGAGTTCATATTACATTCAACTGCAACTGAGTTTATTTGGAAGCGGATCGAGACCCATCTTTTCAGCGTCTCAGTCCCCTTGTTTGGTGCGCACCAGCGTACAGATGGTAGCGTTCACACTTATTCGAATGAACCGCACTAACAGATCAATCGCACCAGGGTTTGTTTTAATCCAACTAATATTTTCATTCATTATAAAACAAGTTCAATTCAGCTATAAGCAGCTCTACTGAGGACATTAATGTCTTTATTCAGCTCCTCAGTTCAATGTCGCTTCAATTCAGTTCAATAACAATGTCAATGTTGCAAACTTCATCAGTTTTGAAAAACTTTCAGCTATAAAGCAGAAGACCGTAGTGTTATTATTCAACTCAGTTCAGTTTAAGTTGATTATTATGGTGTTTTACTGCTCTAACACACACCAGAGGAATGTGAGGGCGCACGTCTCAGTGTTTGGCTCGGTCGTTGACATTGCTTACAATAAATAATGACACGCTGCTTGTTGTTCAGATGAAATAGCAGAATTTTTCTGATTTAATGGTTTGTCGGAATCGAATTATTTCGAAAATAACACAAGATTAGTCTACATTGGGTTTCAAAATCGAATTTACAATCAAAACAAGTTTTAGCAATTTTGAAAACTGTTAAACCAAGAAATAGATCACTAATTTCTAGATCACTAATTAAATCTAAGTAAATGTCAGATCAAGATGTTCTTTGGATCCTCTCAAATTATGCAGGAGAACCCGATCATCAGGTTTTGTTCATGTCCCAGACAGCAATATAGTGTCGGCCCAGATTCCAGATCGCACAAGTCTATTTGATGCAATGTTTACATCTGGAAGACGTATTTTAAGAGTGTTTGCTCATCTGCAATACATCTATTGGATGTTTCCTGTCAGATGTCAAATAGACGTTTAGAAGATGTCAGTTTAACATGCATTCTAAATCATTACATCTTAAAGACATCTTCTAAATGTCTATTTGACATCTGACAGGAAACGTCCTATACCCAGATAGCACAAGTCTATTTGATGTGATGTTTACATCTGGAAGACGTATTTTTAAGAGTGTTTGCTCATCTGCAATACGTCTATACGCCTGTCAGATGTCAAATAGACGTTTAGAAGATGCCTTTAAGATGTAATGATTTAGAATGCATGTTAAACTGACATCTTATAAACGTCTATTTGACATCTGACAGGAAACGTCCTATAGACGTCTTGCAGATGAGCAAACACTCTTTAAAATATGTCTTCCAGATGTAAATAGGACATCAAATACCCTTGTGCTATCTGGGGAGTGTTTGCTCATCTGCAATACGTCTATACGCCTGTCAGATTTCAAATAGACGTTTAGAAGATGCCTTTAAGATGTAATGATTTAGAATGCATAAACTGACATCTTCTAAACGTCTATTTGACATCTGACAGGAAACATCCTATTGACGTATTGCAGATGAGCAAACACTCTTAAAAATACGTCTTCCAGATGTAAACATCCATCACGTCATACTTGTGCTATCTGTGGTTGTGGGCCGGATCTGTGCCGACACTATGTTGCTGCGTCAGTAAAGCAAAAGAGAGACCAAAAAATTACTGAGACATTTTCAAATTCCTTTTTGCATTATGCTGATCATATCATTTGTAATAAAAACAGTTGTATTTAATTGTCTTATCTGTCTAGCCTTCATCAGAAGGTTGTTCCATAACTCAGAGTCAGTGCGTTTAGATAACTCCCGATAGACTCTTAAAAACAAAGGTTTCCGAAGGACAAAGGTGTTCTCCTTTAGCAATGCAACAGAAGAACCATTTTTAGTTTAATACCTAAAAAAACTTTCAGTGATCAGTTCTTAAAAGAACCATTTTTTCCCTTAGTTTAAAGAACATAAAAAAAATCTAAAGAACTTTCTCTACACTAGAAAGAACCTTTTGTGCAACGGAAAGGTTCTTAATGGAACCATCAATGCTAAGAACCTTAATATTTTAAGAGTGAAGGAATAAAAAAGCAGGATGCTAGTAAGTCATGCGCTAACCTCCTACTACTAAGAATATATATGCAAATGGTATCAAACCTCCAAACATACAGAGAGAAGGTAATGGAGTGAGTTAGTTGATCAGCGTCTGTGTTTGACTTGTTGGTGTGAGTTTCAAACAGGAAATCAGACTTCATCAGCTTCCTGACAGCCTGACTCGCATTTCAGAGCTCAAGTCTTACTCCGATTAAAGGCCATGAAACACTATACACTGGTGTTTGTGTGAAAACAACAGTTACCTTTCCTTGTTATACACTGAACATGAGTGGAATACCAACACCGAAACCGACCGACAGGACACCAAAAGATGAGGCAAATGGGTAGTGATCAAGAGGGGGAGAAGAACGTTATATTGTCCTCAACGCATGTTTAACCAATAGTACCTACTAGATTAGGATACTTTGATATTCACCGTTCATTTCAGTTTATAAGCTGTCAAATCAGACTATTAGAACACACTAGTAAATAAACAGTATAGTTGAAAGCATATGTCCTGTGAAGCAAATGGTACAGACGTGTCATTGAGGTGCAAATGACAGAACCACCCTGTGCCTGGAGTGTCCCAGCAGTCCTCAATCAGCATATTGATGAAATCCCTTGCACTAGATATAGGCATTAGCACACAGTGATGATGAAGGCCATTGTGCCATGTTTAATTCACATGTATACCTTTTTTAAGTACTAGGGCAGTAATATTTGCCCATATTTGCTCAGCCCTACACGTATGTAGCTGCATCGTTCACTTCACGTGAAATGTAATCTTAGTTGTATACAAGTTCGATTTTGAGGCTACTGTGTTATTTAAATAATTTCTCCGGAAGTTTTTGCATAAGCTTTGAGCAATCAGCATTGAGATTTGCAGATTTTTTTTTTTTTTCAGCTCTGGCTTATATAACAGTCTCAGAGGATGTCATTTTTCATAGCTCAAACTTTCTGCTTATTTACTTTGTCTTTCCTTGTGGGTCTTCATAAAGCTGAATCCAGATGAATCACACACATATAAACAGACATTTATGATACACTACTGCCAAAAGTTTGTGGTCCGTCAAGTTTTTGAATTGATTTGAAGTCCCCCAAGGCTATCAAAAACACAGTAAAAACAGCAATATTGTGAAATATTATTTCAATTCAAAATAACTGTTTATTTGAATATACAGTATGTTGATGGTGGACATTGGTGGTGATTCAATGCAAAGCACTTTGAGTACCCAGAAAAGTGCTATATAAATGTAAAAAATTAATCATTATTATTAAATGTAATTTATTTCTGTGATCAAAGCTGAATTTTCACATGATCACATGATCCTTTCAGAAATCATTATAATATGCTGATTTGATGCTCAAGAAACATTTCTGATTATTATCAATGTTGAAAACAGTTGTGCTACATGATATTTTTGTCAAAACCGTGATTTTCTTTTCATTACGGGTTTAAAAGAACAGCATTTTTTTGTTTAAATGATAAATATCTGTGACTTTTGAGCAATTTAATGCATCCTTGCTCTTCTTTAAACATCTCTATCAAACTTTTGTACTGGATATCATTCTCAACCCCTTCCGCTCTCTTTTTCTTGGACTCAGTATGGCACAGAAGGAGAAGTTGCAGTGTCTCAAAGACTTCCATAAGGACACATTGAAGCCGTCTCCTGGCAAGAGTCCCGGCACGCGTCCGGAAGACGAGGCGGAGGGCAGAGCGCCGCAGCGGGAGAAATGGGCCAGCAAGCTGGATTTCGTGCTCTCTGTGGCCGGAGGTTTTGTTGGTTTAGGCAACGTTTGGCGTTTCCCGTACCTCTGCTATAAGAATGGCGGAGGTGAGTGTTTCTATGTGTAATATGACAACAAAGATAACACTTTCAGTCTTTGTGAACTGTAAACAGTGTGATATTAATACCTATTTTTTGCTGGTTTACTAAGTATTTCATATATTAATTAGGGCTGTCAAACGATTAATCACGATTAATCGCATTACAAAATAAAAGTTTGTGTTTACATAATATATTTTTGTATATATATATATATATATATATATATACACATGCATGTATATTTAAGAAAAAATATTATATATATCTAGAAAATATTTGTATTTATATATAATATAAATTATATATAAATTTATATACAGTATATACATGAAAATATTTCTTAAATATATAATACAAGCATGTGTGTGTATTTATATTTATATAAAATAATTATGCACCCACATATATTATGTAAACACAAACTTTTATTTTGGATGCGATTAATTTGGGTGCGATTGATTTTATTAATTAAGTTTGACAGCCCTAATATTAATGTATTATATTCTGTGCTGCGCTAATGAATATATGTTTTAAAAGCTATACATTTATATACTATTATTGTTATATTTATTAATTTCAAATTAACTTTTATTTTCAGTTTCAGTAATTTTATGTGCTTTTGCCATTGTATTATTTTTTATATATTCTATCCAGCTTTAATTTTTTCTTTCAGTGTTAGTTGTAGTAATTTGAGTTCTTAAATTTTTCTGTTTTAGTTAGTTGCTAAGTCAACATTTCTAATCTTAAAGGGATACTTCACCTCTGGAAAGATGAATGTGTATTGAAAATGGGTCATTTATGTAAAAGAAATGTGAAATTATTTTTGAATTGGGAGCTTTCTAGACTGAGAAAAGCCAGAAAATGTATGTTTGGCTTATGTGGATGAAAGACAACAACTCCCAGAATGCACTTGCTTCGCTGCCCTAGGAGGCCACGCCTACCGGTAACAGAGCGCTGTAGTTAAACAACAAGTCTAGGCTACTAGTGAGTCTCCGTGATGAGTCTGCCCGAAAATGTGTTTCGGGAACGCCCAAAATATCCGGGATTCGGCTTTTGCGTTCTACAGTCGCCATTCATCATCATGTTTACTGTGGTGAGCGGGAAGAGTGAGGGCCAAGAACAAAAGCATGCTAGCTTAGCTTAGCTTAGATCTTCAATGTTATTTCAGCTTTATTGCAATTAATTAAAACAATTTTTAATAGTTTTAGTTAACAATAACAACACTGGTTTTAGGTTCAATACAAGTTAAACTACCAATAACATTTGTGACATTGTAAATTACTATAATAGTAATTTAAACTGGTCTCTACCTGGTCTTACCTGTTGTTGTTTTTTTCCAGGTGCATTTCTCATCCCCTACTTCATATTTCTGTTTGGCGGAGGGTTGCCTGTCTTCTTTCTGGAGGTGGCGCTCGGCCAGTTCACCTCTGAGGGAGGAATCACCTGCTGGGGGAAACTCTGCCCCATTTTCACTGGTGAGACAAATAGATGCATCAAGAGAGAGAGAGAGAGAGTGAGAGTGTGGACGAGACAGGTCTGACTTTGATGACTCATCGGGCTCAAGCACATTTTAATCAGCATAAGTCATATTTCATGGCCCCCCTTCTCCCACCACACACACACAGGATACCTGTGGTCCCTCACGGCAGCTTCGACCAATGGCCGTTGCTGTGATGCGCTTCGAGTCTGATTGGCTGCTGAGGTGGCTTGTTAAACTGATCTTCACTCTGACCTGTTTTCAGCATCTGCTGTGGTTTCTAAGCAACACTGGAAGACGCTGTGTTCTTTTCAGATGCGTCGTCGTGTTCCGATTCTGCATGTGTGTCAGCAGGATACGGGTCACTCATACACACACACTACATGTGTGTTCAATTCCCCATTATTTGTTTGCTTTCCGCCGCTCTCTGCTTCAGAGTGCTTCAGAATGACTAACACCCCGCTCCGCATTTGGGGCATGTATTCTAATCTCCATGGCAACAGCCGTGAGAGGTGACTGAGATGCTTACGATGGGATGTCCTTCTTCTGTCCGCTCAGAGATATTCTGCCCAGGAGCCAAAATGGAGTAGTTGCGTTAAGATGAGAAAGAACAGGGCAGGAGGATTTTCTTAGAGGAGGGCTTTTCAATTTTAATGTATTAGGACTGAATTAATACTGTGAAAAAGATTATTATAAATTTGTAAAATGTTTACTTTCCATTAAATTATATTATTGCTATTTTTCTACTTACTCTAGTACTATAATGTGTAATGCATTAGTTTATTATTTATTTAATTATTTTTTATTCAATTTTAATTTAAATGACTTATTTTTATTTTTATTTTTTTTTTACATTTCGTATTTATTTAAATCAAATGTTTTTACTTATGCAGTTATATAAAAACATTTGATTCAAATAAATAAATGAAAATGATTAAAAAATATTAAAATAAGGCTGTCAGGGCTGTCAAACAATTAATCACAATTAATCGCATCCAAAATAAAAGTTTGTGTTTACATAATATATGTGGGTGCACTGTGTATAATTATTTCATATATATACACACACACATGCTTGTATATATTTATGAAATATTTTCATGTATATACTGTATATAGATTTATATATAATTTATATGATATATAAATATAATTATTGTATATATAAATATTTTTTTCTTAAATATACATGCATGTGTGTGTATTAATTTATATACAAAATAATTATACACAGTGCACCCACATATATTATGTAAACACAAACTTTTTCTTTGTATACGATTCACAGCCCTAGTTTTTATTTATTTATTTTGATTTAAATAAGATTATATTTATTTATTTTGATCAATTTTTTTATTTATTTTAATACATTACATTTTAATATAATCTATTACTTTATTGTCCAGTTATTTAAATACTATTTTATTTGTTTATTTAAATTAACCTTTTATTTTATTCAAATGTATTTATTTAGTTAGTTCGGTTAATCCGATTTTTATTGATTTATTTTTACAACTTTTCCACAGACCGCCTAGATTAACCCTGTCTTAGAGGATATTTGTATAATTGTTTGCTTCTGACCTCTATATGCACACGTGCACAGGCACATCGCTCACGTGAGTGGGTTTTATTTAGCAAATACCAACGATATTCCTTACACCGTGAGCCCATTGTCCCCTTTCACCCAAAGGTTATGTTCTTAGCATCAGCGGCAGCTGAGCGATCTCTCTTGAGCACACACACACATCTACAAATTAAGTCCTGCGCCTCTTGCATACACTCAAACGCACATTTGGCATTCTGTTGTCAGCTGTCACAGTGAGCTCCTGGCACCGTAGAGCGAGCTTGTGGCTCTTTGTATTAATTATAGCATAATACCAGCATTCAGCCCTTTGACTGCCCTCAATCCTACAAAAATACAATTTCAGACGCAGATGTGTCAGAGCCAACAGGTAAAGCTTCATTGCTCTGGGAATAGAGTCGTTTCAGCCATGTTCGACTCATTATAAGAATGAGAACACAGTGGGTCTGTCTCATAAAGTCCCACACTGTGCTCGGGTCTGCTCTCCTTTAACAAGCCGCATGATTTGAGGTATCACTCATGTCTGTAACACATAGAGTGGCAAGTTACATGCTGTGCTAGTAGATGCTTGTCTTATCATTTATGACCAGCGCTAATCCTGGCAGATTAAAGGGGTGGTATAATGCCCTTTTCACAAGATGTAAAATAAATCTCCCAGAGTGTGTATGTGAAGTTTTAGCTCAAAATACCCCACAGATATTTTTGTTTAGTATGTTAAAGTTGTCACTTTTTGAGGGTTAGCAAAAACGCACCGTTTTGTGTCCGGCCCTTTAAATGCAAATGAGCTTCAGCTCCCGACACAGTGGGCGGAGCTTCAAGAGTGTTTTCAAGAGTGCAGCTTCGCAGACACACGCTAAAATGTCAGAAACTGTTCTGCCTTTTTTGTTTAAGTCAGACAAATATGGAGAGACTAAGAAGAAGTGACAACATGTAGAATGCAACAGTACATCTCTGAATGGTTAGTTGATGAATTTATGTTGCTGATCTTCAATTAGCATATTTCTGTCTGGAAATATGTTGTGTAGGAATATGATATCATTTTACAACTTCTTTTTGCATGTATAATTTTGAATAACCACTGAAGAGCTGTGAACAATAAGACCATGAATGTGTATTAAGAAAGCAAATGTTGCTTTCATGTCGACAGGAATCGGCTACGCCTCGGTGGTGATCGTGTCCCTGCTGAACATCTACTACATCGTGATCCTGGCGTGGGGTCTGTACTACCTTCTGCAGTGTTTCCAGCACGAGCTGCCCTGGGCCCGCTGCAAGCACAGCTGGAACACGGAGAACTGTGTGGAGGACACCGTCCGCAAGAACAAAACCCTCTGGCTCTCCACCAACACTGTCAACTTCACCTCGCCGGTCACCGAATTCTGGGAGTGAGTATCGTGCGCGGGTGTGTGTCCGGGACGGACGCTCTTCGCCCGTTCTCATCACTCTGATATCGTCTGTAGGCGGAACGTCCTCGGCATCTCTTCGGGGATCGACGAGGTCGGCGGTCTGAAGTGGGACCTGGCGTTGTGTCTGCTGGCCGTCTGGATCGTCTGCTTCTTCTGCATCTGGAAAGGAGTCAAATCCACCGGCAAGGTGAGGGAGAGGACGAGAAAAGTGACTCGTTTCCAAAAATCAAGCACATTTTGCAAAGTGATCATTATATTTTAAGTGCAAATTGTAGCCGAACATACAAAATGATCAAGTAGAAGCTTGTAGGTATATACGGAAGCGTATTGCATTCACTTGAAGAAAAAAAATCTACTCTGTTTTTCTGAATTAACAGGTTAATTATCTCAGAATTACAAGATAATTGTTCATGGAAAAAAAGTTTTTTTTCAGTTTTTCTGAATTAACGAGTTAATTATCTAAGAATTACGAGATAATTGTTCATGAAAAACGTTTTTTGCTCTTTTTTTGTGAATTAACGAGTTAATTATCTCAGAATTACAAGATCATTTTTCATAGAAAAATGTTTTGCTCTGTTTTTCTGAATTAACGAGTTAATTATCTCAGAATTACGAGATAATTTTTTATGGATTTTTTTGCTCTGTTTTTCTGAATTAGCAAGTTAATTATCTCAGAATTACAAGATAAATTTTATGGATTTTTTTTTTTTGCTCTGTTTTTCTGAATTAACAAGTTAATTATCTCAGAATTACGAGATAATTTTTCATGGAAAAAAGTTTTTGCTCTGTTTTTCTGAATTAACGAGTTTAATTAACTCAGAATTACAAGATAATATTGTTCATGGGGAAAAAAAGTTTTTGCTCTTTTTTTTGGAATTAACGAGTTAATCATCTCAGAATAACGAGATAATTGTTTATGGAAAAAAAGTTTTGCTCTGTTTTTCTGAATCAATGACTTGATTATCTCAAAAACTCAGAAATTCAGAAAAACTGAGCAAAAACTTTTTTCCATGAAAAATTATCTCGTAATTCGGAGATAATTAACTCGTTAATTCAGAAAAACAGAGTAGATTTTGTTTCCTCAAGTGAATGCAATACGCTTCCGTAGGTATAAACCTTATCCTTTCAATAAATCAGACTTAGCATAATTCATATTTATGAGTCAATCTGATATATGAGATAATGCAATGTTTTTATAATATTCAGCGCACATATTATATTTATTTATAATATAACCCAAATTATCAGGTAGTTCCTATAACCTTGCTGTAAAGCCTTGAAAATGTTGAAAGCCTTTGGATGTTATTTATCCGTGATCCGTATGGACCAGGCTATATGGTTCAGAATGCATGTGATTCATGGATTAATAGCAAGTTTATCCTGTAAAGTGACTTGAAAGCATCCAAGCCCAAGAAGACGTGAACACAAACTCAGAACAACAAATTCAGTTCCTATTATCTTATTTTTGATGCAAAATTGTCTCAAAATGTCTGTCTCAGCGAGTATCCTCGTAAACAGTCACTTGTCTCTTAAGTGAACTTAATTTAAAAAGAAATCTGATGTGTATCATGTTAATTTAATAATAATTAAAGTACAATGAAGATCTCGAAATTCATAAGTATACTTGTTTATTTCTTGCAAGAAAGGCAGTTCCCACACAGACTATGAGAAGGGCAAAGAGATTCCCATTTTACAGAGTTTATATACAAAAGATCACCCTCCAAGATGTACCCCCTCCTCTTCTATCTTACTAAGGCTCCAGCATGTACATAGTTTCAGTTCCCCTTTATCATCAAAGATACATCAAAAAGAAAAGATAAAATGAAAGATAATATGGTTGGTTCTTCATTTACTGCCTCTTTTGTTACTGGATAGACGATTTTTAGAGGTAGGATTACTTCATAGATGACAAGTTCGAACTTAGTCATCTGTCTGGTTTCATTTCTCATATTTGTTATTTATACACACAATCAGGTGCTTGACATACACACACATTTATCTAAAGTACAAAATGTCGTAGTACATGGTCTCAGAGATTCAGCAGATAAATGAGGTCAACTGAAAAACCATGGTTAGATTAATATTCAGTTTAAAATTTCCCTTACAATCATCATATTGGATCAGTGCATTAGCTCTTAACAGTAGCCTAATATATCTATTGCCATCTGTGATTAATGTAAATCACACAACAAAAGAAAATCATTGTTTTTGTCATTGTTATTCATTTATACAGTGAAAACATTTAACATTGAATTATTTACCTAAATACTGTTAGACTTGCTTAAAAAACAAAGTTTATTTCATTTGTCTCTTTGTTTTGTTTTGTTGTATGTATCTATGCTTGTAATTTGTTTATTTTCTATGCAGATGCACTCCGCTACAAAATCACCTCAGTCATTCTAGAATGATTCATTCTTTCCAAATAAAGCTATTCAAGTCATCTGGTAAAATTTTCATATCTCAATATATATATATAGAAGAAAAACAAAATATTGCAATGTCCGTTTTTTTCCTCAATATTGTGCAGCCCTGATTTATACGAGATTATTGGATTCCTGTTTACTTGGAATACTCCAAATGCTAACATACACAATGCAACATGCATATTTGCAGTAAGCAAGCTAAAATATGACACACAACTCAATAGATACTTGCACAGTTTCCTTTTGCTATCGGCCTTTTTCCTATTGTAACAGAAAGTAGGAACAGGATATATTGAAGAGCGAATGTACAACAAATAAAATATATATTTTTGCCCATTTTCCTGGAAGAGAAAGCCAGTATATTTTAAATGCAAGTTAAATTATTTCATACACCACCATTCAAAAGTTTGTGGTCAGTACAATTTTTATAATTTTGAAAGAAGTCTCTTATGCTCACCCTAAGGCTGCATTTATTTGATAAAAATACAGTAAAAAACAAAATATTGTGAAATATGAACTATTTTCTAAGCTATTCCTGTGATGCAAAGCTCAATTTTCAGCATCATTACTCCTTATGTAGGAGTGCATACTTACTTATGATTATTCAACTGATTTGCTGCTCAAGAAACATTTATTATTATTTATAAATTTTTAAAGCAGTTGAGCTGCTTAATATTTTTGTGGAAACAGTGACTTTAAAATTAAAAAGAACACAATTAATTAGAAACCAAAATATTTTGCCATATTATAATGTCTTTAATGTTTAAAAAATGCAAATGAAAAAAAAAATATATATATATATTTTATAAAATCCCAGACCCCAGACTTGGTATGATAGTGTATAGATGAATTCAAAGATAATGGATATGAACTAAAAACCACAAACAAAAGCTTGATTTTAAAAGATTTTTAGTGGTGCACATGATCTAGTAACTGTGTAGGATCTAATGGTGGACACACACTGAGCCTCATTCATTAAACACGAGCAGAACTGATTTCTGTGTAAATCAAAGAATGACTAATGAAAGAATGATTTTGTGGCTAAAGGATTACACAGAAATCCACTCGTATTTCTTGGAAAAGGGTCCGGTGTGCACTTCAACAAGCCTTCATTTCAGAATTTGTAGCTATGTGGGTTTCATTTGTGAATATGGATTGCTTTCCGTAGGTGTATAATTATTTTATTTTCATAATGGAAATCCATGAACGCTCTGCCCTTTTCTCTGTCTGTCTGTAGGTGGTTTATTTCACAGCGACGTTCCCCTTCCTCATGCTGATCGTGCTGCTGGTTCGTGGTGTGACTCTGCCTGGTGCCGCCGAGGGCATCAAGTTCTACCTTTACCCTGATCTGACCCGTCTAAAGGACCCTGAGGTAAAGAGACGGAGAGAAAATAATCTCCGTACATTGTTGTTTTTCATTTGAAGCAAACTGCAATCTCTCTCTCTCTCTGTTGACTGATTTAGGTGTGGATTGATGCAGGCACGCAGATCTTTTTCTCATATGCTATTTGTCTCGGTGCAATGACATCACTGGGAAGCTACAACAAGTACAAGTATAACTGTTACAGGTGAGGGCCTGTTGTTGTGTCTTACCAATTGTAAATGCTGTGTCTAATTATTGTTCAAACATTTTGTGTGTGTGTGTTTAGGGACTGCATGCTGCTCGGGTGCCTGAACAGCGGTACCAGTTTCGTGTCAGGCTTTGCCATTTTCTCTGTCCTGGGGTTCATGGCACAGGAGCAGGGCGTGGCCATCGCAGACGTGGCCGAGTCAGGTAATCCACAGGGTCAAAGGTCACCAAATCTGCTCACAAGGAATTATTTCAATGAGAGGAAGAAGTGAATATTAAGATTGTGATAAATCTAATGTATAATATTTAATTTGAAGCTCTTTTAGCAGCATTTGTGGCAAAGTGTCAATTATATATATATGTATATTAGGGCTGTGCAAAAATGAATTGCGATTAATCGCATCCAAAATAAAAGTCTGTGTTTACATAATATATATGTGTGTGCTGTATATAATTATTTTGTATATATAAATACCTATGCATGCATGTATATATTTAAGAATTATTTGTGCTTAAATTCTGTATATATATGAAGAGTTCAGATGCAAAAGCCTCTAAATGCCATTTTAACTTTTCTTCTAGAATGATCATTTTTATCAAACTTGTATATTTAAGTTCAGTAATTTCACTTAAATGACAATTAATAGGTAATCTTCATTGCCATTTAAGTGAAATTACTGAACTTGAATATACAAGGTTGATAAAAATTATCATTTTAGAAGAAAATTTCAAATGGCATTTAGAGGCTTTTGCATCTGAACTCTTCATATATATATATATATATATATAAATACATAATCTATATTATATAAATATAAATATTTTATATATGAATAACACATTTTCTTAAATATATACATGCATGCATAGGTATTTATATATACAAAATAATTATATACAGCACACACAAATATATTATGTAAACACAGACTTTTATTTTGAATGCGATTAATCACAATTCATTTATGCACAGCCCTAATATATATGAAGAGTTCAGATGCAAAAGCCTCTAAATGCCATTTGAAATTTTCTTCTTTAATGATGATTTTTATCAAACTTGTATATTTAAGTTCAGTAATTTCACTTAAATAACAATTAATAGGTAATTATCATTGCCATTTAAGTGAAATCACTGAACTTAAATATACAAGCTTGATAAAAATGATAATTTTAGAAGAAAATTTCAAATGGCACTTAGAGGCTTTTGCATCTGAACTCTTCATATATACAATACCAAATGCGCTTTCTCACTCTCTCATGTTTCCGACAGCAAATTGACACCCAAACTTCTCCTCACCTACTTGTTTTATTTCCTCCGTGTGAATATTGTTGGTGTTACAGGGCTTGAATTTCTTTGACTGAATGCATTGTGTATAATTTTACCCATTCCCACAGATTTTATGCTCACACATAAAGTGCACGCAGATAAAGCCACCTCACAGTACTAAATTTAGTTTTTTTTCGCTGCTTATTGTGCTTAAACAGTCAAATACACACAAAATAATGTAAAAATGCCGGTCTTGGCGAGTATTCCCGTAAATACAGTCAGTTATGTTTTAGGTGAAAGTAAACAGTTGACAAAAGAAAACGCATGTGCAACAGTATAATGGATCTGTGCGTCAGGTCTTAAAGTGACAGCAGCCTAATATATTAATATACCTGCTGCCAAATTATGAGATAATATAAAAAATATCTATATGGCATTTTTATCCCATGGAGTCAATGTCAAAATTGTGGCCAGTGAAAATTTTGAGTGGCTAGTAAGTTTGGAAAAGCACTAGCCACAGTGGCTGGAGAGGAAAAAAATGTAGGACACATATACACTCACACACTCTTTTAATAATATATGATTACTTCTGTGTCTCTCAGGTCCTGGTCTGGCCTTCATCGCGTATCCAAAGGCCGTTACAATGATGCCACTGCCGACGGTCTGGGCGATACTTTTCTTCATAATGCTTCTGCTGCTGGGCCTAGACAGTCAGGTTAGATCATCACAAACACACACCTACACTTCTCGTTGCTCTTAAATTAAAGGGATAGCTCACCCAAAAATAATCATTTAATCCCACTTATGACTAAATGACTCACCAAAAATATATTTTTGTTTTATATGCTAATAGATTAACTTCCAAGACAAAGTTAACACCAAAACGTAATTGAGAACTCGCAAGAGCAATAAAAATGTCCTCTGCGTGGTTTAACGAATGAGTGTCCTGGTGTTGGAATGAAAGACCGCAAACATTGAGATGGTTAAGCCAGAAGATCATAACTATACAGCATAGTGTTCAGTCCTAATGTGAAACATCATCTTTCCGCGGCTGTGAGCCAGCGTTGAGGAATTACACTGCTATATTTCGGGCTGCCTCCCACAAACACACCCTCAAAGTCACATATCACGAGACAGTGAAGTTATTCCAGTCTCATATGACTTGCTGAAAAGCCAACGTGTGATGGATCACATTTCCTTTTGCATATGTGTGTGTGAAATTACACACACACACTACACTAAGAGCAACAACCGGACATAAATAAGTTTGCCATTGTTATGAATGTCATTCACTCTCCAGTGATATGGCAATAAAAAATAATTACAAACCCTCAGATTTTCCACAATTCAGGGTCAAATAAGGTGATGACCCGATGCACAAGCTGTCACCATTGTTCATTCATTAAAACACAACCTCAGATGACTCCAAGAGGCGCTTGTCCCTGTAAAGCAGTGTTTATCTGTCAAAATGTGCAGTAGCACTGTCTCTTATTAATTCAAATTCCAACATGTGTGTGTGGGTTTCTCCCCACAGTTTGTAGAAGTGGAGGGTCAGATCACCTCGCTGGTGGACCTGTACCCATCCCTCCTAAGGAAGGGATACCGGAGAGAAATCTTCATCGCTGTTATCTGCGTCATCAGTTACCTGCTGGGACTCACCATGGTCACTAAAGTAAGTGTCGACGATATGGATTTCACTCCTCCTGCAGTGTCTGACCGCTGAATGCCCATATCTCTCTCTCTCTCTCTCTCTCAGGGTGGCATGTACGTCTTCCAGCTGTTTGACTACTACGCCGCCAGCGGTGTGTGCCTTCTCTGGGTTGCATTCTTTGAATGTGTTGCAGTAGCCTGGGTTTACGGTAAATAAACACTAGATAAGGTTTCAGTAATCAATGCTGGCCTCTAGAAAGAAATATTGGCAAAATATTTTTAAATAATGTGGCCAAAAAAAAATGAAGTGGTGGTGACCAGTTACAGGATCTTATTGCTATTGTGTTTTTGGTGACAGAATGAATTCTTAAAGGAGTAGTTCACTTTTAAATAAACTTTTGCTGATAATTTACTCACCCCCATGTCATCCAAGATGTCCATGTCTTTATTTCTTCAGTTGAAAAGAAATTAAGGTGAAATTTTGATGAAAACATTACAGATTTTTCTCCATATAATGGACTTCACTGGTCCAAAAGACACTTTCAGTGTCAAACTGTTCAAAGGGCTTTAAACGATTCCAGACGATGAATAAGGGTCTTATCAAGCGAAACGATCGCTCATTTAAAAAATAAATAACAAAGTTTAAGTTTTATAAGCACAAATGCTCGCCTTGCTCTGTTCTGTGACGCACGTTCGTGAATCTCCTGTTCGAACTCATTCATCAAATAGAACAAATCTTTTTCCGAGTCAATTCGTTTGTTTCGTTTGTTGAATCAACCAAATGACTCGGAAAAAGATTCGTTCATTTTGATGAACGAGTTCGAACAGGACAGAACAGAACAGAGCAAGGCGTTCCCACTGAAGTCCATTATATGGAGAAAAATCCTGGAATGTTTTCATCAAAAACCTTAATTACTTCTTGACTGAAGAAAGAAAGACATGAACATCTTGGATGACATGGGGGTGAGTAAATTATCAGCAAAAGTTTTTTTTTTAAAGTGAACTACTCCTTTAATTTAAAAATATATTAAAATATGAAACGGTTATGTTAAATTGTTATTGTATTATCGTTTTTGACTATATTTTTGATCAAATAAATGCGTGAACATGGTGAACATAAGTATCAAAAACATAAAAAAAGCTTACTGATCCAAAACAGTACTGTATGTACATTGATTTCAACCTTAAATCATTATGTTGATATATAAAATAGCTCATTAACATGTTTTGCATCACATACTCAGATATACAAATCAACTGAGGTTAAAAGGTAGTTGAGTGAGAATGTGACCCTTTTAGAGTCATTTAATCACTGTAAACACTGTAACAGTCACACACACACACACTATACGCTCTACTTATTATATGGGTGTCTGTCGCTTTAAAAACAGATGTCACTTGTGTTTACAGCATAAATACTGAGCTCATGCGTCTTATGGTCTGTGCATTAAGCTCATTGGGGTTACTCAATCAAGAGTCTAACAGTGTTTGCTGAGATTAATTTATATAATCTTATTTAGTCTTATATAATCACATCAGTCTTCTGGGCTTATATCAGATCTCTCTTTTTTTAGTCATGACTGGCCCCACATGAAATCAGCATGTTTTTCAGTGCTGATTGCTGGAAAAAATCTTTTTGGCCAGCTCAATATCATTTAAATTTTCTGTATGTAATTTTTGACTGTACTAAAGCATTAAAATATCATAATGTTTACAGATATTTCGAAACATACATACTTTTTTCTCTGAAAACCAATGCTACAGCCAGTTATTTTACTTTGAGATGTGCTTTCTGTGTCAGAAAGTCTGTTTTTGTTTTAATCCGTGTGAATCCGCCCACTGCCAGTTCACCCGATAGTAGTTCGACACCCAGGGTTACCAGTTGGCGGAAAACACAATGCGCCGGGCGCTAACCATTTTTCCCGTCGTTTAACTTGCAAAAGTGGATCCGGACTCGGCCTAAGTGCGCTTGCGCCGTGTGTTTAAGACCATGCGCTTAGATCCTTAAAATAGGGCCCTATGACTCTGAGTTGAGATGTACGGTTACTAAAGATCAATACACAACTCTTGAATCAATTCTGAATGCATGTGTTCATTTGTAGGGGCTGATAATTTCTACGATGCTATAGAGGACATGATCGGCTACAGACCCAACAGCTGGATGAAATGGAGCTGGATGCTGATCACACCCGTCCTGTGTGTGGTAAGTGTGTGAACGCAGTTTATGCTTGAGAAATATGGCCAGCAGCAAAAGGTTGTGACTAATCCCATCTCTCTATTTTAGGGTTGTTTTATCTTTTCACTGGTGAAGTACAGGCCGCTCACCTATAACAAGCTTTACAAGTATCCTGATTGGTCTGTTGGATTGGGTTGGGTTCTTGCACTCACTTCTATGATTTGCATCCCGATGATGGTCGTCATCAAAATCATCCAATCAGACGGCTCCCTGATAGAGGTGAGTAGGTCATTTACTGTATTTAAAACACGTGCAAAGCAACACAACATACACATCTAGTGGCATTATTGATCATTCTATTATATTAGGAAAGTACAATTTATCTGTGATGATTAGGGAAGTTAGGGAAACATTTGCGTCCTATAGAATGATTTGAAAGAAATTAATACTTTTATAGAAAAATATTTGTAGAAATACTTATGTACTTATATATACTGTTTATTTACAGTGTAGTTTGATTTGAAAAAATAACTAATTATATTATATTAATATATAACTAAATATATAACTAACTAATTATTTTTTGGGAAAAAATATTTATAAAATATATAAAAAGTAATTTAAATATATGTATATATATATATTAGTATATATTGTTATATTATATATACTATTTATGAAATATTATAACTTATTTTTTAAATTTTATTTACATTTTTATTTTTATTAATTTTTATTCAGATTTTCTACTTCCCCTCTATAATACATGTATTCTAAATTTGGCAATTTAAAATTTTTCCAAGAACAGAAATGTATCAATCAAATTTTAATTCATTTTCGTATTGTATCCATAGATAATTTAGTCATTTTAGTTTTAAAGATGTATTATAATAACATATGGCTTTTTCTTCTTATTTAATTTTTATTGTAATTTTATTGAACTTTTTCTTAATTATTCTCTTCATTTTTAAGAAAAAAGTTAAATCAGACTTGTCTACTTCCCTCTATAATTTTGAATTCATAACAATTTTTTTTTTTTTGTTTTTGATTGAATGTGACGGCTGTTTATATTAAATCCGAAATATTTTAAAAATGCCTTTTACTTTTAAAATAAATTTATGACATCATCCATCGTTCAAATTCTAGGCCATAAAAATAATTAGCAGCTATCATGTTAAATATCATGTATCACTGCATTTATCGTTTTGATAATAATCTTGAAAATGCACTCAAATCAATGAACTATCCGTGTTTAGCGGATCAAAGCGGTGGCGGCGCCCGTTAAAGGAGGCGCGAGCTCTCGTCCGAAAGAGTACGGCCTGAAGAACAGCGAGCTGCTTCACCCTCTGGACCCCAACGGCATCCACGTCTTCACCAAACACACCCACACCATCGTAGAAACTACTATGTGAGACTCTCTAAGAGAGATTCCCATATTCCCCTGCTCCTGTCCTCTCCTATGGGAGATCCCGTTTCATGTGTTGTCCCTCTCCCTTCCCCTCTGTTCCTCTCTCTCGCTCTGCACTGGTGCGTTTTTACGAAATGATCTCTTATATTCATATATCTTTTTTTGCCATGTAGGATTTGTAATCACTGGTATTAGCATTAATGCTGATATTGTAATAACCTGATGTGAGCTTTAGCTGTCTGGGGCGGTTTGATTAATCTGTAGTGCAGTTTCACATTAAACCGTGTCCTAATCAGGAGCGACACAGGATTTACAGCGCATCGCTTTACTATCTCTATCATATCAATCCGATTTTTGGTCCTAAACAGTCACGATGAGAGATTTTGCTTTTCGATTTCGGTCCCGTCACTCTGGGTAGCCCCGCCCACAGTGAAATCCCATTGGTCCAAAATCGTGTTCCGCATAAATTTACATAAAACATTTTATATTCTTATTGTGTTTCACTTTCTCTAAGGAGTTGTATTGTGGAAATTATGTTGCACCTGATTAGGACACAATTCATCAGCAGAGAGAGCGAGTTTTAGCTTCGTTTTTAGGAAAAAAAAATGAAAACAGCAGCGAACTAAATGTGACATTTAGCTCCGTCCGTCAGTGGTTGTGGCTGTAACTCTTGTACGATGAGGTTCTTAAATGTTCTTGAAGAAAAATGAATGTACCTCCGCTTTGGGCGGACGCTGTGCACAGTCATGCACACACACACATGTAAGACATAAGCAAACCTTAACGCTCTGTCCTTCAGTCTCTCCTTGAACTATAGTGATCACTGCCATCGCACACATCGAGTTCATTTAACACTGTAGGCAGCTCTGTTCACTAATATAAATATCGTTTGATGCACTATTATGAGCGTCGTTCACTGTAAGCTGATCCGAGAGCTGATGATTATCAACAGCCGTTTGGCAGCACTTTACTAGCTCTTCATGTACAGCGAGATCCGAAAGTCTGAGACTATGGCTGTGTTCGAAATCGGCCCCTATGCACTCATTCACTACCCACTAATACAGTCCACTAGACAGCTTGCTGTTTAATGAACAAAACTAGCAGCTCCAGTAGTAAGATGAAAATACATATCTTGAACCTTAACTAAACAATTTAATAATAATTTAAAATGGAATTGATACCTGTATGATATCATGCTGTAGCCACATTGGTCCAGCGGTTTGGAAAATGGATGGATGGATGATTCAGCTGCGGCGCCATCTTCTGGTCAGACACGGGAATTCATTCAGTGCATTATGGGTATTCTCTGGTGCATTGTGGGATTGAATTAGTGCACTCGATTACGTCCATTATGGTTTTCGGACACCACTACAAATGGCTGTCTCAAATAGTGCACTTTTTAAGGATATAGGGAGCGATTTCGCACACAGCCTATATATATACATTTTTTTCATTTTACTTAACATTTTCTTAAATCTTAAAACTTTTCTACTTCCCCCTCTGTAATAAAAAAACTGTTAACTTCAGGGAATTTCTACTTTTTTCAAGAAAAGAACGTGATCAATCTTATTTTAATCATTTGGTATTGTATACATAGACACTGGTTTCCCCCCCCCCCAAAATATTTGAGCTATGAATTGATAAAAAAGGATTTTTATTTTTAGATTTAATGTGAATGCTGATGAAATGTGTGTATATTTATTTATCAGATTGTTTTCATTGTGAATTGTATCAGAATCAGGGGCGGACTTAACCAATAAACAAGGTAAGCTTAGGGCCCCAACAAATACCCAACGGACCTTGTAAACCAATTTGACAATGAATATTTGACATTTTATTTAGAAATGAAGAAAAAATGGTGCTTAATTTGGTGTGTTGGGGCCCCACACCAGGGCCCCCAAATCACTGTCCCTGATCAGCATAAGCTGACATGAACAAAACCTCATGAGCTAAAGCACCTTGCGCTACGATGTACAAAGAGTCACATGATCAATGTCGCTGCTAATGACCTTGCTTATGTAGATTTTGACTGCCACATGTTTCAGACTTTTGGAGGCCGCTGTACAGTATATCACATGATTCAGCACAGCCAAACCGCTCGTCATCATAAAGCCATCAGCTTTCAGAATGAGCGCAGGAAACCTGGGCTTTATGTCCTTGCACAGAGACACTGCCATTTCCCTCTCTGGACTAAAAATGAGATTGTTTCTTTAGCCTTAAAACGTCTAAATAAATATTCAAGCTAATCACCAACAGCAAAGAACTGCCCCTGATAATGCCTCTGTGTCCTTTACCTTTGACCATCCAGGCCTCCAAAAACACCGTCCTCATGGTCGACCCTCTCTAACCCCAATGTCTTTGGGCTGCGTTCGAAATCACATACTACCCTACTGTATAGAAGGCAAAAAACAGTATGTCTGAATTTACAGCACTCATAAAAGAGTAGGTAAAAAGTACCGAGATCACCTACTAGTTCCGGTGAGATCCTGATGTGTGCATACGATGGACACTGTACTATCCCATGAGGCCACGGGGGAGGATTTGTGAATGCGACATAACTAATAATGACAACAGGGCGAATGTAGTACATTCATACTTCAAGCATGGAACGTACTTTTAAGTGCTCAGAAAGTTAGTATTCATTCAAAACAAGCGATTTCGGACGCAGCCCAGATCATCCAACCTGACCTAGGACCCTTGAACCCTCACCGATCATGAGCTATCCGTTAACTAAGCAAGTGTTTGCTCATTTGTAGTATTTTCATTTATCTGAAATTTGCCTTTTTGTATTTAACCATTTTATACTGTACCTGATGTGATTGGTCATTTGCCTATATTTTTTCTGAATGTATTCAGAAATTTATATTTAAACGTTGGTTAGTTGTCGGCCTCAAAGCAACTAGCAGTGTGCAATATTTGTAAACTACAGGCTTTGTCCATTTTTATTATAATTTCAGCTGGAAAATACTGTAATATGATGAAAACAAGAAATTTTTCATTCACATTTTGCTGTACTATAAGGTAACTGGATTAAACAAAAACAAACGAAAAAATCTTGTAAAACCAAAGTAGTTTTGTGACAGACCATTCTAGATGCTTATTGCATCTTTCAGACAAAATAAAAATGTCCAATCTTTGGTATGTGTTGTGTAAAGTCTGTTCAGAATTGTGTTTACCTGCTTTGTTAATGATCTGGACCAGGACAAGCTCACATGGAAATATTATTTTTTCATATATATCAAAGATTAAACTTGATTATGACTTTGAACACAATTAAGCTTAAGTGACTCACTCTTTTACAGCTGATTTAACACATAAACAAGAGTCATTTATAACCTAAATATGACTTGGTTACTATAAACAATATAAAAATTCAATTTTTGCTGTCACATCCTCCGCACATTCGAGCTCTCAGGATCGTCATTTAGTCAGGTTATTTGAACATTGATTCTATTCGCATTCCTACCTACCGGACCATTTCATCAGCGAGTTTTAGCTTGATTAATGAGGCAATCGGATTAGTTAGCCAAGTTCACGAAAAATAAACCATTCAGTGCAATTAGTGAACCAATTCAACGCTCGAGCTCCGAGTCCGACTCCGAACCGAGGATCATACTTAGACAGTAAAAGAGGTATGGGCTGAAATATGTGCCACCAGAAACTGAATTTGAACCATTTATATTTGAATTTGAATGGCTAAACTTGAATAATTGCATTGAAAAACTGAATTTAAATCACATAATTTGAAATTGTATTGTTTAATTAAAATTGAATTTATTCAAAAACTGAAACTGAATTGTAAAATTTGAAATTGAATTTATTTGTTTGGAACTGAAGTCCAATAAAATTTGATCCTCACTGAAAATTAAACTCTCTATATATCTTCACATTCAGTTCTCAAATTCAATTTTAAGTTACTGAGACAGACATCCAGGTAGTTAGAGGATGAAGGAAGAGCAATCGAGCGCAGATCGATAGATAAAGTTCATTGGCGCACAGGACTCCTCTTAAGAGATCAGCTTGCCCTAGTGTACTGGGCTAATCTTATGGGACATAATCAGCCAGTATTAAGAAACTGTCAAGAGCGACTGAAAGAGGGAGTTAAAAGCTTTGGGTGGTCTATAAAACAAAAAGTTGAGAATATGGGGTTAAGTGAACTTAATATCTGTACTTCAGTACCATACTCTACAGTTCCCCCTTGGACTTTTGAGGAACTAAAAGTGGATCTAGGATTACTTGAAGAAAAGCAGGAGAAGGAAGTGGACAAATGCAGAGTTCATAGATACATAGCAGAACATTACAAACAGGACATAATCATATTTACAGATGCTTCGAAAAGAACTGATAAAAGGAGTGGCGCATGTGGTGCCTGAATTGGGGCTGGCTGTAGGTAAAAGGCTAAATGATGATTTGGCTGTAATTACGGCAGAGCTTGTAGCTATATGGTTTGCCCTGTTATGAGTAATAGAAAAATAGTTATAGCATCTGACTCTAGTTCTGGAGACTCTAGACCCTTCCAGTACCACTGTCGTTTTTTGTTTTTTTTTTGGGGTCGAAATTTTGAAATTCTCTGATCTTCTTGAGACTCTGGATTCTGATAGAGGGCCATGGGACTTAGGCCTGAGTGCAAAAATGGAGGCTCTAGACCCTTCCAGAGCTGAGATATTGAGATATTTATAATGGCATAAATGCTACGTGGGATCTCAATATCTCAGCTCTGGAAGGGTCTAGAGCCTCAATTTTTGCACTCAGGCCTAAGTCCCATGGCCCTCTATCAGAATCCAGAGTTTCAAGAAGATCAGGGAAAATTTTGACCAGAAAAAAAACGACTGTGTTACCCCTTACGTTTTTTTTTTTGGGCGAAAAATTAAGTATCCCCAATCTTCTCAAAACTCAGGATTCTGATAGAGGGCCATGAGACTTAGACCTGAGTGCAACAATGGAGGTTCTAGACCCTTCCAGAGCTGAGATATCGAAACTCAAAATTTCGACCCGAAAAAAAAATGACAGTGTTACCCCTTACGTTTTTTTTGGGGGGGCGAAAAATTAAGTATCCCCAATCTTCTTGAAACTCTGGATTCTGATAGAAGGCCATGAGACTTAGACCTGAGTGCAACAATGGAGGCTCTAGACCCTTCCAGAGCTGAGATATGGGAACTCAAAATTTCGACCCGAAAAAAAAACGACAGTGTTACCCCTTACGTTTTTTTTCGTTTTCAGGCGAAAAATCAAGTTTCTCCAATCTTCTCAAAACTCTGGATTATGATAGAGGGCCGCGAGACTTTGACCTGAGAGCAAAAATGGAGGCTCTAGACCCTTCCAGAGCTGAGATATGGAAACTCAAAATTTCGACCCGAAAAAAAAACGACAGTGTTACCCCTTACGTTTGTTTTTTTTGCCGAAAAATTAAGTATCCCCAATCTTTTCAAAACTCTGGATTCTGATAGAGGGCCATGAGACTTAGACCTGAGTGCAAAAATGGAGGCTTTAGACCCTTCCAGAGCTGAGATATCGAAACTCAAAATTTCGACCCGAAAAAAAAAACGACAGTGTTACCCCTTACGTTTTTTTTTGGGGCGAAAAATTAAGTATCCCCAATCTTCTCGAAACTCTGGATTCTGATAGAGGGCCATGAGACTTAGACCTGAGTGCAACAATGGAGGTTCTAGACCCTTCCAGAGCTGAGATATCGAAACTCAAAATTTCGACCCGAAAAAAAAAACGACAGTGTTACCCCTTACGTTTTTTTTTTTTGGGCGAAAAATTAAGTATCCCCAATCTTCTCAAAACTCTGGATTCTGATAGAGGGCCCTGAGACTTAGACCTGAGTGCAAAAATTGAGGCTTTAGACCCTTCCAGAGCTGAGATATGTAAACTCAAAATTTCGACCCGAAAAAAAAACGACATTGTTACCCCTTACGTTTTTTTTTTGTTTTCGGGCGAAAAATCAAGTTTCTCCAATCTTCTCAAAACTCTGGATTATGATAGAGGGCCGCGAGACTTTGACCTGAGCGCAAAAATGGAGGCTCTAGACCCTTCCAGAGCTGAGATATGGAAACTCAAAATTTCGACCCGAAAAAAAAAACGACAGTGTTACCCCTTACATTTTTTTTTCGTTTTCGGGCGAAAAATCAAGTTTCTCCAATCTTCTCAAAACTCTGGATTATGATAGAGGGCCGCGAGACTTTGACCTGAGCGCAAAAATGGAGGCTCTAGACCCTTCCAGAGCTGAGATATGGAAACTCAAAATTTCGACCCGAAAAAAAAAACGACAGTGTTACCCCTTACGTTTTTTTTCGTTTTGGGGCGAAAAATCAAGTTTCTCCAATCTTCTCAAAACTCTGGATTATGATAGAGGGCCGCGAGACTTTGACCTGAGCGCAAAAATGGAGGCTCTAGACCCTTCCAGAGCTGAGATATGGAAACTCAAAATTTCGACCCGAAAAAAAAACGACAGTGTTACCCCTTACGTTTTTTTTCGTTTTGGGCGAAAAATCAAGTTTCTCCAATCTTCTCAAAACTCTGGATTATGATAGAGGGCCGCGAGACTTTGACCTGAGCGCAAAAATGGAGGCTCTAGACCCTTCCAGAGCTGAGATATCGAAACTCAAAATTTCGACCCGAAAAAAAAACGACAGTGTTACCCCTTACGTTTTTTTTTCATTTTCGGGCGAAAAATCAAGTTTCTCCAATCTTCTCAAAACTCTGGATTATGATAGAGGGCCATGAGACTTAGACCTGAGTGCAAAAATGGAGGCTCTAGACCCTTCCAGAGCTGAGATATGGAAACTCAAAATTTCGACCCGAAAAAAAAAACGACAGTGTTACCCCTTACGTTTTTTTTCGTTTTCGGGCGAAAAATCAAGTTTCTCCAATCTTCTCAAAACTCTGGATTATGATAGAGGGCCGCGAGACTTTGACCTGAGCGCAAAAATGGAGGCTCTAGACCCTTCCAGAGCTGAGATATCGAAACTCAAAATTTCGACCCGAAAAAAAAACGACAGTGTTACCCCTTACGTTTTTTTCGTTTTCGGGCGAAAAATCAAGTTTCTCCAATCTTCTCAAAACTCTGGATTATGATAGAGGGCCGCGAGACTTTGACCTGAGCGCAAAAATGGAGGCTCTAGACCCTTCCAGAGCTGAGATATCGAAACTCAAAATTTCGACCCGAAAAAAAAAACGACAGTGTTACCCCTTACGTTTTTTTTCGTTTTCGGGCGAAAAATCAAGTTTCTCCAATCTTCTCAAAACTCTGGATTATGATAGAGGGCCGCGAGACTTTGACCTGAGCGCAAAAATGGAGGCTCTAGACCCTTCCAGAGCTGAGATATCGAAACTCAAAATTTCGACCCGAAAAAAAAAACGACAGTGTTACCCCTTACGTTTTTTTTCGTTTTGGGGCGAAAAATCAAGTTTCTCCAATCTTCTCAAAACTCTGGATTATGATAGAGGGCCGCGAGACTTTGACCTGAGTGCAAAAATGGAGGCTCTAGACCCTTCCAGAGCTGAGATATCGAAACTCAAAATTTCGACCCGAAAAAAAAACGACAGTGTTACCCCTTACGTTTTTTTTCGTTTTCGGGCGAAAAATCAAGTTTCTCCAATCTTCTCAAAACTCTGGATTATGATAGAGGGCCGCGAGACTTTGACCTGAGCGCAAAAATGGAGGCTCTAGACCCTTCCAGAGCTGAGATATCGAAACTCAAAATTTCGACCCGAAAAAAAAACGACAGTGTTACCCCTTACGTTTTTTTTCGTTTTTGGGCGAAAAATCAAGTTTCTCCAATCTTCTCAAAACTCTGGATTATGATAGAGGGCCGCGAGACTTTGACCTGAGCGCAAAAATGGAGGCTCTAGACCCTTCCAGAGCTGAGATATCGAAACTCAAAATTTCGACCCGAAAAAAAAACGACAGTGTTACCCCTTACGTTTTTTTTCGTTTTGGGGCGAAAAATCAAGTTTCTCCAATCTTCTCAAAACTCTGGATTATGATAGAGGGCCGCGAGACTTTGACCTGAGTGCAAAAATGGAGGCTCTAGACCCTTCCAGAGCTGAGATATCGAAACTCAAAATTTCGACCCGAAAAAAAAACGACAGTGTTACCCCTTACGTTTTTTTTTTTTTGGGCGAAAAATTAAGTTTCTCCAATCTTCTCAAAACTCTGGATTATGATAGAGGGCCCTGAGACTTAGACCTGAGTGCAAAAATGGAGGCTCTAGACCCTTCCAGAGCTGAGATATCGAAACTCAAAATTTCGACCCGAAAAAAAAACGACAGTGTTACCCCTTACGTTTTTTTTCGTTTTCGGGCGAAAAATTAAGTTTCTCCAATCTTCTCAAAACTCTGGATTATGATAGAGGGCCATGAGACTTAGACCTGAGTGCAAAAATGGAGGCTCTAGACCCTTCCAGAGCTGAGATATCGAAACTCAAAATTTCGACCCGAAAAAAAAACGACAGTGTTACCCCTTACGTTTTTTTTTGGGGGCGAAAAATTAAGTTTCTCCAATCTTCTCAAAACTCTGGATTCTGATAGAGGGCCATGAGACTTTGACCTGAGTGCAAAAATGGAGGCTCTAGACCCTTCCAGAGCTGAGATATCGAAACTCAAAATTTCGACCCGAAAAAAAAAACGACAGTGTTACCCCTTACGTTTTTTTTTCGTTTTCGGGCGAAAAATTAAGTTTCTCCAATCTTCTCAAAACTCTGGATTCTGATAGAGGGCCATGAGACTTAGACCTGAGTGCAAAAATGGAGGCTCTAGACCCTTCCAGAGCTGAGATATCGAAACTCAAAATTTCGACCCGAAAAAAAAACGACAGTGTTACCCCTTACGTTTTTTTTCGTTTTCGGGCGAAAAATCAAGTTTCTCCAATCTTCTCAAAACTCTGGATTATGATAGAGGGCCGCGAGACTTTGACCTGAGCGCAAAAATGGAGGCTCTAGACCCTTCCAGAGCTGAGATATCGAAACTCAAAATTTCGACCCGAAAAAAAAACGACAGTGTTACCCCTTACGTTTTTTTTCGTTTTCGGGCGAAAAATCAAGTTTCTCCAATCTTCTCAAAACTCTGGATTATGATAGAGGGCCGCGAGACTTTGACCTGAGCGCAAAAATGGAGGCTCTAGACCCTTCCAGAGCTGAGATATCGAAACTCAAAATTTCGACCCGAAAAAAAAAACGACAGTGTTACCCCTTACGTTTTTTTTCGTTTTGGGGCGAAAAATCAAGTTTCTCCAATCTTCTCAAAACTCTGGATTATGATAGAGGGCCGCGAGACTTTGACCTGAGCGCAAAAATGGAGGCTCTAGACCCTTCCAGAGCTGAGATATGGAAACTCAAAATTTCGACCCGAAAAAAAAACGACAGTGTTACCCCTTACGTTTTTTTTCGTTTTGGGCGAAAAATCAAGTTTCTCCAATCTTCTCAAAACTCTGGATTATGATAGAGGGCCGCGAGACTTTGACCTGAGCGCAAAAATGGAGGCTCTAGACCCTTCCAGAGCTGAGATATCGAAACTCAAAATTTCGACCCGAAAAAAAAACGACAGTGTTACCCCTTACGTTTTTTTTTCGTTTTGGGGCGAAAAATCAAGTTTCTCCAATCTTCTCAAAACTCTGGATTATGATAGAGGGCCGCGAGACTTTGACCTGAGCGCAAAAATGGAGGCTCTAGACCCTTCCAGAGCTGAGATATCGAAACTCAAAATTTCGACCCGAAAAAAAAACGACAGTGTTACCCCTTACGTTTTTTTTCGTTTTCGGGCGAAAAATCAAGTTTCTCCAATCTTCTCAAAACTCTGGATTATGATAGAGGGCCGCGAGACTTTGACCTGAGCGCAAAAATGGAGGCTCTAGACCCTTCCAGAGCTGAGATATCGAAACTCAAAATTTCGACCCAAAAAAAAAACGACAGTGTTACCCCTTACGTTTTTTTTCGTTTTCGGGCGAAAAATCAAGTTTCTCCAATCTTCTCAAAACTCTGGATTATGATAGAGGGCCACGAGACTTTGACCTGAGCGCAAAAATGGAGGCTCTAGACCCTTCCAGAGCTGAGATATGGAAACTCAAAATTTCGACCCGAAAAAAAAACGACAGTGTTACCCCTTACGTTTTTTTTCGTTTTCGGGCGAAAAATCAAGTTTCTCCAATCTTCTCAAAACTCTGGATTATGATAGAGGGCCGCGAGACTTTGACCTGAGCGCAAAAATGGAGGCTCTAGACCCTTCCAGAGCTGAGATATGAAACTCAAAATTTCGACCCGAAAAAAAAAACGACAGTGTTACCCCTTACGTTTTTTTTCGTTTTTGGGCGAAAAATCAAGTTTCTCCAATCTTCTCAAAACTCTGGATTATGATAGAGGGCCGCGAGACTTTGACCTGAGCGCAAAAATGGAGGCTCTAGACCCTTCCAGAGCTGAGATATCGAAACTCAAAATTTCGACCCAAAAAAAACGACAGTGTTACCCCTTACGTTTTTTTCGTTTTCGGGCGAAAAATCAAGTTTCTCCAATCTTCTCAAAACTCTGGATTATGATAGAGGGCCGCGAGACTTTGACCTGAGCGCAAAAATGGAGGCTCTAGACCCTTCCAGAGCTGAGATATGGAAACTCAAAATTTCGACCCGAAAAAAAAACGACAGTGTTACCCCTTACGTTTTTTTTCGTTTTGGGGCGAAAAATCAAGTTTCTCCAATCTTCTCAAAACTCTGGATTATGATAGAGGGCTGCGAGACTTTGACCTGAGCGCAAAAATGGAGGCTCTAGACCCTTCCAGAGCTGAGATATGGAAACTCAAAATTTCGACCCGAAAAAAAAACGACAGTGTTACCCCTTACGTTTTTTTTCGTTTTCGGGCGAAAAATCAAGTTTCTCCAATCTTCTCAAAACTCTGGATTATGATAGAGGGCCGCGAGACTTTGACCTGAGCGCAAAAATGGAGGCTCTAGACCCTTCCAGAGCTGAGATATGGAAACTCAAAATTTCGACCCGAAAAAAAAACGACTGTAAAATCTGAGGGATTTATTCTATTGTGTGCACTAGTTCAGGTGGGTGCGTGTTCGCACTGGTATGTCGGTCAAGACATCTGAGTCAGGATTCAGTTCAAGGATTGAATGAAATTATTTAAACATGACAGCACAGTCAGACCACAGGGCATTTATTGTTCAACAGTCTCATTTAGTGGACATTTACGTAGAAATGTGGTCTGTGAATGACAAAAAGAACAATGAATAGACAATAATCGCAATAACTTTCAACAATTTGCAAGATAAAATAATATCCTTAAAGTATAACATATACTAAACAAACATTGTTGCAATACCATGTAGTGCCACAAAGTGGCGCATGAAACGCACAGAATAAAGTAAGTGAAAGGTCATTATATAGTTGCTGCGTTATCAAATGGCACGGTAAATCTGACGACTGGCAAGAAATCAATAATCCAAATGTACAATACTAAATACTATAAATGTATTACCTACAAATATCCATTAAATACTAAAGGAAGAATTAACATTAAGCAGCAATACAGAAGATGAACACGAGAATCACTATACTGCTCGTGCAAGTGAATCTGACGATGATAAACCAACAAGTCATCACTTGACTAACACAAAGTCAACTAATAAAGAACAGAGAATCGCACTTACTTATTTTCAATGACTCACTAAAGGAATGTCCACTTTATGGAGAAGTTTTACCGTTGTTTCTGCCTCAGGAAACTATATCTCTTCAACGGGTGCACACTGACTGACGACACACAGTGGAGAGTGCGCTTATTGGCTGGAGATTGCGCTTGTTGACTGTAGAGCATGTTCATTGGCTGTGTCTTCTTAACACTGCCGCCCCCAAATATGCGGAGCATATTTGTTCTTTATAGGCTTAGTCAATTTGTAGGAGATAAGTCCTGGACACATCTTCGTCTGAGAAAGCAGGAAGGGGAATCAAACGAGCAACAGGTCGCATGTAGATCTTATCATTGATTTGGATCTCAGCTGCTCTAATACATCCATCTGAACCAGGGAAGGTTTTTATAACCTTGCCCAATAACCACAAAGCACGTGGGACCTGTGGGTCTACAACCATAACTACATCTCCAGTGGAAATGTTTTTAACCTCGGAATGCCACTTTCCACGAGACTGTAGTGAAGGTAAGTAGTGACGGATGAAACTCGACCAGAACTGGTCAGCCAATACCTGGCTTTGCTTCCATCTCCGCCGCCCCATGAGTTCAGTAGCTGGATAGACCACTGGTGGTAAAGAACTATCTGGCCGCCCCATGAGCAGGTAGTTAGGCGTAACAGGATCAACGTCAGCTATGTTACTTGAGGTGTAACCTAGTGGCTTACTGTTTAAAATGCCTTCAACTTCAATTAGGACTGTCAGGAGCACTTCTTCAGTCACAACCTGTGAGCCAAGGGTGGTGCGTAGGGCATTTTTCACAGACCGAATCTCTCTTTCCCAGGTTCCGCCAAAGTGTGGAGCACTTGGTGGGTTGAAGCGGAAGGATATTTTCCTTTTGGCCAGCTGTTGTTGTAGTTGAGGGCTGAGGGAAGAAAATGCTTCTTGCAGCTCTCTTTCTCCTCCACGGAAATTGGTGCCCTGGTCAGAGATTAACTCAAATGGTGTGCCACGCCGGGCTACAAACCTCCTTAAGGCCATCAGGAATGAATCTGTATCCATAGAAGTGAGAAGATCCAGATGTATACTTCTCGTTGTTAGGCACTTAAAGATTACTCCCCACCTCTTCTCACAGCGTCTGCCGATTTTAATTTGAAATGGTCCGAAACAGTCCATGCCAGTACTGTAGAATGGTGGTTTATGTAGTCTCAAGCGGGCTGGAGGTAGATCTGCCATTTTTGGAACAACTGGCTTACTCTTCCACTTTTGGCACTCTTTACATTGATGCTGCTGCTTGCGTATAGCTTCACGTCCTCTCAATACCCAAAAGTTTCTCCTCATTTCTGCAAAAACCCTATCGGGTCCTGGGTGGCAGAGCTTGCTGTCGTAATCCTGGATTAGTAATTTAGTGCTGAAATGATGAGGATGTAGAACTATAGGGTGGATTACTGATGATTCCAATCCTTCAGCCCGTCGCAGACGGCCACCAACTCTGACAAGCTGACTGGACGTGTCAAATTCTGGTGCTAGGGTAAGTAACCGACTGGTTGACTGTACAGGTTTCCCATCTGTAAGTAATCTGTACTCATCAGGGAAACTGTCCCTCTGGGATTTTTGGAGGATGAGCAATTCCGCAGCTAGATAATCTGCTGCTGAGAGCTGTTCTGTTCCTTTAAGGTTCTGGGCTGTTGCCTCTACTAGCTCCTTCCAGGAACTGCAAGTAGCAGGATCAGGAATGCTTGGGAGATTAATCTCTGTTGAAATGCCACAGAATATTCCCTTACGATGCTCTGCTTTATCCTCCGGAGGTTGTAGATTAGGAGTTATTGGCCATGATGACTCAGGTTCAAGGAGGAATGATGGCCCCTGACTCCATCTGTTGGGCACTGACAGATCTTTAAGTGTTTTACCCCGGGTCAGATCATCGGCTGGGTTCTTATCAGAGTCAACGTACCGCCAGGTACACCCTGCTGTGAGCTCTTGGATCTCCGCTATCCTTGTACCGACAAATACCTTGAATCGGTATGATTCTGAGTTGATCCAGGCGAGTACTGTGGTGGAATCTGTCCACATGAACACTTGGCTGATTTCTACAGTAAGTTCAGTCTTAAGCAGTTTGGCTAGCTGAGCACCATTCAGGGCTGCGCATAACTCCAATCGAGGTATGGTATGTCTTCGCTTAGGAGCGACTTTAGATCTGGCCATGATGAAGGCAACCTGTACTTGACCACTATCGTTCTCTGTGCGCAGATATGAGACAGACCCATAAGCCTGCTCAGAAGCATCACAAAAGATGTGTATCTGTCGGGTAACCTGGAACTGATCAGTGTCTGAAGATACAAAACAACGAGGCAAAGAGATGCTGGCTAAGGTAGGGAGCTCTTCTTCCCAGTCATTCCAGGACTTCAAAAGGTCATCAGGCAGGTTGGGATCATCCCATTCCCTCTGTTTATCCCACAACCTTTGTACCAAGACTTTAGCTTGTGTGGTAAATGGGATGATGAAACCGAGTGGGTCATACTGAGTTGCGAGCACCCTGTAGATGTGACGAAGGGTACGTGGTCCAGGCTTCACTGGTCGGGTTTTATACCCAAGGGTGTCTAATTGGCAGTACCACTTCAAACCCAGTGTGGATTCCTGTATTTCAGTCCGATCTTGCGACAACCACAATTCTGTACTGTTGGATCGTGCGTCTGTTGGTAGGTGCTCAACCACACTTGGAACATTACTTGCCCACTGTCGAAGGTCAAACCCACCACTGGCCAGGATTTGACGGAGTTTATCCACCAGTTGTCTTGCTTCCTCAGGTGACTGAAGGCTCCGCAAGCAGTTGTCCACATAGAAGTTCTTCTCTACTGTGACTCTGACATCATCATCGGGCTTGCTGTGATCTATGATGTGCTGTTGAAGGGCGTAAATGGCACAGCACGGGCTGCAAGTGGTGCCAAAGGGTAACACCTGCCACTCGTAGACATCAGGAAGTTTAGTTCTGTCAAGGTCCCGCCACACAAAACGGAGGAGATGTTTATCTTCAGGCAGAAGGCAGACCTGATGAAACATCCCCTTGATGTCACCACTTATTGCCACTCTGTGCTCACGAAAGCGTAACAGGACGCCTAATAAGGAGGGCCCTAACGCTGGTCCAGGCAGTAAGTAGTCATTCAAACTGTGGCCTCTAAACTGGAAGGAACAGTTGAAAACCACACGATTCTTTCCATTATGATGAACCATATGGTGAGGAATGAACCATGACTCACCATCAGTGTTGACTTCTTCAGGGAGGAGTTTGCGTGCATACCCAGAGACCTCTAGCCTACCTATCTCCTCCTTATATGCAGCAGCTTTGATGGGGTCCCGTTCCAGACGCTTCTCTATACTCCTTAGGTTTGGTAGTACAGCCTCTTTAGAAGCTTGAAGAAGAGGCATGTCTTTCTTGCGAAGGAGTGGAGTAGCATATCGGCTAACTCCATCAACCAGTACTCTCCTGGTCTGGTTCTGTAGAAGGGTAAGAGCTTCTTGATCTTGTTTTGACCTTGTGAGCAACCCTTCGGACCTTATGGGTAAGATATCGGCCTGCCAGAGTCTTTCGACGTTCTGAAAAAGTTCCACCATTGAAGGTTTAATGGTAATATGCAGACACTGCTGTGACTTCAATTTATCTTCAAGAACTCGTGCTGGACCTTGCAGAGTCCAACCCAGACGTGTCTTAATGGCTGCTGGACCACCTGGTGGACCAAGGCGGACTGGTTCTATCGGGGTGATTAGGTGAGAATGGTCTGCTCCTATCAACAGCATGGGGCTGGCTTTGTGAATTGGCTGAAGTGGTAGACCTCTCAAATGACTGTATTTTTGTTGAAGGGATGCAATCGGATAGGAATGTTCCGCTAGGCTCAAGGGTTCTGCTGTAAAGGCTCTCTCGATAAGATAGCTCTTATTAGGTTGAGAGGGTGTTGAGATCCTGAAAGAAACTGCTGTGCCATGGAGTGTTGTTATGTCCTGCCTTATAGTCCTCAAGGCTAAGTCCTCTGACTTTCCTGTGAGACCTAGTCTTTGAGCTGCTGATGACAGAAGGATGGTGCGCTCTGAACCGTCATCGAGCACAGCATATGTGTCAAAGCTCTGACCTTTGTGTTGCAAGATAACTCTAATGACTTTAAGAAGGACTCGATTGGACCCTTCAGGTCTGTCCAAGTACAGCGATGTATTGGTAGAGCTGACAAGGCAGGTGCCCTCCTTCATTGGCTTAACATTCACATCATGGAGGATTTGCAAATGTATTCCATTGCACAGACGACATGGCTTTTTCAAAGTACACTGCGCAGCTCGGTGGGAGCGTCCACACTTCCAACATCTATGATTTGTCTTTATCCAGTCAGTCACTTGATCTTTGGAAAGTGCTTGGAAGGACGTACACTGGCTCAGGTAGTGGTCTTTGCCATCACAGTAAGGGCAGAAGGCATTGCTTTTATTTATGCTTTTAGCTGGCTGTGGTAGCACTGATATTGATGGTTGATCTGCACCATGGAGTATTGTGGTTGGTTGATATTTCAACTTGGAATCCCTGCGGATGTCTGTTCTTTGTTTGACTCTGTGAACTTTGTCTCCACCAATGCTTTCATGGTCTTGACACCATGATTCAAACTTGAGCCACTTAGCGAAGTCAAGGAGTGTGTACACAATTCCTGGTTCAAAACTCATATGCCTTCTAAAGGATGACCGCAACTCTGGAGGTAGTTTAGTCAGGAGTCGAGCCACATGTGATCCACACCGTAATTCAACTTCTCCTTCTGTGCCCAGTGTATTCAAGAGACCTACCAGTGCCTGGATTTGTAGAGCAAAGCGTTCGAAGCCTGCAGTATCTCCAGAATGGATGTCCGGAGAGTCCATTACAGCAGCTATTCGATTTAGAGCAAGTTGGTGCGGTCGCCCATACCTCTCAGTAAGTGCTGCCATAGTGTCTGAGTATGGAGTAAGGGAGTTCAAGAATGAGTCTGCTATCAAGCGAGCTTCAGTTAGCTTTAAGTGGTCAACTAGAACCTGGTACTTAAAGAGTTCAGTTGCATCCTCTGGCAACAGATTACTCAAGGCTAACTTAAGGCGGGTGAATTCACCTGGATCTCGATGGGAGAAATACGGTATAGTTGGCTGAGGACCTCTGTAGATTGTCTCCTGTCTATTCACATCCATCTGCCACCTGGGTGGGTCTGCGGGTAACCAATTAGGCTGGACAGAATAATGCGCTGGGGGCATGGAGGGAGTAGGGACTGATCCATCCATCTCTGGCTGCTGTCGACCCAGGTAATGTCTGTAGGGGTCATACGTACTGGAGGGACCCTGGGCTGCAACTCTACCAGTAGCAAGGGTGTCAGCGTACTGATGTTGAACTGGAGGAGGAGTATGATGGGCATTCCTGTCTGTACTATAAAGGTTTGTACTCCTTGGAGTTGGCATTATGCGTGGTGTCGGTACTGGATGAGCACGGGGTGCTGGGTTAGGGACAGGTGTTTCTGACCCCCTGTAAATAGTTCTAGGAGAGGGCACTGGAGTTGGTTGGGATGGATACTGCTGTTTAGCTGTAGGCGATGACCTCTGACTTGACTGGCTCCTCGTTAACATGTCTTGCATGATTTCTGTCAGTCGTCTGATCTCCTCCTTCATTGATAATTGAGATTGACGAAGCTCTCTGTTTTCTTTTTCAATGTCATGCACTGTCTTATGAATATCTGGAGGTAAGGAGTGAGTATAGTCATCTTGTGCACTCCACTGGTCTCTAATGAGAAACCATGGCTCTCGTTGTGGTCCTGTTCCCTCTAAAGAATCAGGTGTTCCACGTTCAGCTCCCTCATCTGAGCTGTAATCTCTGGTGGTTTGCAGGCGAGCATTTGAGGTGTCTTCCCACTGTTTATCTTCTCGCCCATGTGTCTGCTGTGCTATCTGTATGAAAGGTATGGTAACTTGAGCGTTCGTTGGATACTGGACCTCAAAGTCTTGGAGGTATGCTGGCGGACGAACTGAACGTCTAGGTCGTGCACCTTGGATCTGATATTCTGGGTTCTGGGATTCTGACATCCTTAGTCCAGTGTAAACACACGATCCGGCTCGAAGGACCAATGTAAAATCTGAGGGATTTATTCTATTGTGTGCACTAGTTCAGGTGGGTGCGTGTTCGCACTGGTATGTCGGTCAAGACATCTGAGTCAGGATTCAGTTCAAGGATTGAATGAAATTATTTAAACATGACAGCACAGTCAGACCACAGGGCATTTATTGTTCAACAGTCTCATTTAGTGGACATTTACGTAGAAATGTGGTCTGTGAATGACAAAAAGAACAATGAATAGACAATAATCGCAATAACTTTCAACAATTTGCAAGATAAAATAATATCCTTAAAGTATAACATATACTAAACAAACATTGTTGCAATACCATGTAGTGCCACAAAGTGGCGCATGAAACGCACAGAATAAAGTAAGTGAAAGGTCATTATATAGTTGCTGCGTTATCAAATGGCACGGTAAATCTGACGACTGGCAAGAAATCAATAATCCAAATGTACAATACTAAATACTATAAATGTATTACCTACAAATATCCATTAAATACTAAAGGAAGAATTAACATTAAGCAGCAATACAGAAGATGAACACGAGAATCACTATACTGCTCGTGCAAGTGAATCTGACGATGATAAACCAACAAGTCATCACTTGACTAACACAAAGTCAACTAATAAAGAACAGAGAATCGCACTTACTTATTTTCAATGACTCACTAAAGGAATGTCCACTTTATGGAGAAGTTTTACCGTTGTTTCTGCCTCAGGAAACTATATCTCTTCAACGGGTGCACACTGACTGACGACACACAGTGGAGAGTGCGCTTATTGGCTGGAGATTGCGCTTGTTGACTGTAGAGCATGTTCATTGGCTGTGTCTTCTTAACAACGACAGTGTTACCCCTTACGTTTTTTTTCGTTTTCGGGCGAAAAATCAAGTTTCTCCAATCTTCTCAAAACTCTGGATTATGATAGAGGGCCGCGAGACTTTGACCTGAGCGCAAAAATGGAGGCTCTAGACCCTTCCAGAGCTGAGATATGGAAACTCAAAATTTCGACCCGAAAAAAAAACGACAGTGTTACCCCTTACGTTTTTTTTCGTTTTCGGGCGAAAAATCAAGTTTCTCCAATCTTCTCAAAACTCTGGATTATGATAGAGGGCCGCGAGACTTTGACCTGAGCGCAAAAATGGAGGCTCTAGACCCTTCCAGAGCTGAGATATCGAAACTCAAAATTTCGACCCGAAAAAAAAACGACAGTGTTACCCCTTACGTTTTTTTCGTTTTCGGGCGAAAAATCAAGTTTCTCCAATCTTCTCAAAACTCTGGATTATGATAGAGGGCCGCGAGACTTTGACCTGAGCGCAAAAATGGAGGCTCTAGACCCTTCCAGAGCTGAGATATGGAAACTCAAAATTTCGACCCGAAAAAAAAACGACAGTGTTACCCCTTACGTTTTTTTCGTTTTCGGGCGAAAAATCAAGTTTCTCCAATCTTCTCAAAACTCTGGATTATGATAGAGGGCCGCGAGACTTTGACCTGAGCGCAAAAATGGAGGCTCTAGACCCTTCCAGAGCTGAGATATGGAAACTCAAAATTTCGACCCGAAAAAAAAACGACAGTGTTACCCCTTACGTTTTTTTTCGTTTTCGGGCGAAAAATCAAGTTTCTCCAATCTTCTCAAAACTCTGGATTATGATAGAGGGCCGCGAGACTTTGACCTGAGCGCAAAAATGGAGGCTCTAGACCCTTCCAGAGCTGAGATATGGAAACTCAAAATTTCGACCCGAAAAAAAAACGACAGTGTTACCCCTTACGTTTTTTTTCGTTTTCGGGCGAAAAATCAAGTTTCTCCAATCTTCTCAAAACTCTGGATTATGATAGAGGGCCGCGAGACTTTGACCTGAGCGCAAAAATGGAGGCTCTAGACCCTTCCAGAGCTGAGATATCGAAACTCAAAATTTCGACCCGAAAAAAAAACGACAGTGTTACCCCTTACGTTTTTTTCGTTTTCGGGCGAAAAATCAAGTTTCTCCAATCTTCTCAAAACTCTGGATTATGATAGAGGGCCGCGAGACTTTGACCTGAGCGCAAAAATGGAGGCTCTAGACCCTTCCAGAGCTGAGATATGGAAACTCAAAATTTCGACCCGAAAAAAAAACGACAGTGTTACCCCTTACGTTTTTTTCGTTTTCGGGCGAAAAATCAAGTTTCTCCAATCTTCTCAAAACTCTGGATTATGATAGAGGGCCGCGAGACTTTGACCTGAGCGCAAAAATGGAGGCTCTAGACCCTTCCAGAGCTGAGATATCGAAACTCAAAATTTCGACCCGAAAAAAAAACGACAGTGTTACCCCTTACGTTTTTTTTCGTTTTCGGGCGAAAAATCAAGTTTCTCCAATCTTCTCAAAACTCTGGATTATGATAGAGGGCCGCGAGACTTTGACCTGAGCGCAAAAATGGAGGCTCTAGACCCTTCCAGAGCTGAGATATCGAAACTCAAAATTTCGACCCGAAAAAAAAACGACAGTGTTACCCCTTACGTTTTTTTTCGTTTTCGGGCGAAAAATCAAGTTTCTCCAATCTTCTCAAAACTCTGGATTATGATAGAGGGCCGCGAGACTTTGACCTGAGCGCAAAAATGGAGGCTCTAGACCCTTCCAGAGCTGAGATATGGAAACTCAAAATTTCGACCCGAAAAAAAAACGACAGTGTTACCCCTTACGTTTTTTTTCGTTTTCGGGCGAAAAATCAAGTTTCTCCAATCTTCTCAAAACTCTGGATTATGATAGAGGGCCGCGAGACTTTGACCTGAGCGCAAAAATGGAGGCTCTAGACCCTTCCAGAGCTGAGATATCGAAACTCAAAATTTCGACCCGAAAAAAAAACGACAGTGTTACCCCTTACGTTTTTTTTCGTTTTCGGGCGAAAAATCAAGTTTCTCCAATCTTCTCAAAACTCTGGATTATGATAGAGGGCCGCGAGACTTTGACCTGAGCGCAAAAATGGAGGCTCTAGACCCTTCCAGAGCTGAGATATCGAAACTCAAAATTTCGACCCGAAAAAAAAACGACAGTGTTACCCCTTACGTTTTTTTTCGTTTTCGGGCGAAAAATCAAGTTTCTCCAATCTTCTCAAAACTCTGGATTATGATAGAGGGCCGCGAGACTTTGACCTGAGCGCAAAAATGGAGGCTCTAGACCCTTCCAGAGCTGAGATATCGAAACTCAAAATTTCGACCCGAAAAAAAAACGACAGTGTTACCCCTTACGTTTTTTTTCGTTTTCGGGCGAAAAATCAAGTTTCTCCAATCTTCTCAAAACTCTGGATTATGATAGAGGGCCGCGAGACTTTGACCTGAGCGCAAAAATGGAGGCTCTAGACCCTTCCAGAGCTGAGATATCGAAACTCAAAATTTCGACCCGAAAAAAAAACGACAGTGTTACCCCTTACGTTTTTTTCGTTTTCGGGCGAAAAATCAAGTTTCTCCAATCTTCTCAAAACTCTGGATTATGATAGAGGGCCGCGAGACTTTGACCTGAGCGCAAAAATGGAGGCTCTAGACCCTTCCAGAGCTGAGATATGGAAACTCAAAATTTCGACCCGAAAAAAAAACGACAGTGTTACCCCTTACGTTTTTTTTCGTTTTCGGGCGAAAAATCAAGTTTCTCCAATCTTCTCAAAACTCTGGATTATGATAGAGGGCCGCGAGACTTTGACCTGAGCGCAAAAATGGAGGCTCTAGACCCTTCCAGAGCTGAGATATGGAAACTCAAAATTTCGACCCGAAAAAAAAACGACAGTGTTACCCCTTACGTTTTTTTTCGTTTTCGGGCGAAAAATCAAGTTTCTCCAATCTTCTCAAAACTCTGGATTATGATAGAGGGCCGCGAGACTTTGACCTGAGCGCAAAAATGGAGGCTCTAGACCCTTCCAGAGCTGAGATATCGAAACTCAAAATTTCGACCCGAAAAAAAAACGACAGTGTTACCCCTTACGTTTTTTTCGTTTTCGGGCGAAAAATCAAGTTTCTCCAATCTTCTCAAAACTCTGGATTATGATAGAGGGCCGCGAGACTTTGACCTGAGCGCAAAAATGGAGGCTCTAGACCCTTCCAGAGCTGAGATATGAAACTCAAAATTTCGACCCGAAAAAAAAACGACAGTGTTACCCCTTACGTTTTTTTTCGTTTTCGGGCGAAAAATCAAGTTTCTCCAATCTTCTCAAAACTCTGGATTATGATAGAGGGCCGCGAGACTTTGACCTGAGCGCAAAAATGGAGGCTCTAGACCCTTCCAGAGCTGAGATATGGAAACTCAAAATTTCGACCCGAAAAAAAAACGACAGTGTTACCCCTTACGTTTTTTTCGTTTTCGGGCGAAAAATCAAGTTTCTCCAATCTTCTCAAAACTCTGGATTATGATAGAGGGCCGCGAGACTTTGACCTGAGCGCAAAAATGGAGGCTCTAGACCCTTCCAGAGCTGAGATATGGAAACTCAAAATTTCGACCCGAAAAAAAAACGACAGTGTTACCCCTTACGTTTTTTTTCGTTTTCGGGCGAAAAATCAAGTTTCTCCAATCTTCTCAAAACTCTGGATTATGATAGAGGGCCGCGAGACTTTGACCTGAGCGCAAAAATGGAGGCTCTAGACCCTTCCAGAGCTGAGATATCGAAACTCAAAATTTCGACCCGAAAAAAAAACGACAGTGTTACCCCTTACGTTTTTTTTCGTTTTCGGGCGAAAAATCAAGTTTCTCCAATCTTCTCAAAACTCTGGATTATGATAGAGGGCCGCGAGACTTTGACCTGAGCGCAAAAATGGAGGCTCTAGACCCTTCCAGAGCTGAGATATCGAAACTCAAAATTTCGACCCGAAAAAAAAACGACAGTGTTACCCCTTACGTTTTTTTTCGTTTTCGGGCGAAAAATCAAGTTTCTCCAATCTTCTCAAAACTCTGGATTATGATAGAGGGCCGCGAGACTTTGACCTGAGCGCAAAAATGGAGGCTCTAGACCCTTCCAGAGCTGAGATATCGAAACTCAAAATTTCGACCCGAAAAAAAAACGACAGTGTTACCCCTTACGTTTTTTTTCGTTTTCGGGCGAAAAATCAAGTTTCTCCAATCTTCTCAAAACTCTGGATTATGATAGAGGGCCGCGAGACTTTGACCTGAGCGCAAAAATGGAGGCTCTAGACCCTTCCAGAGCTGAGATATCGAAACTCAAAATTTCGACCCGAAAAAAAAACGACAGTGTTACCCCTTACGTTTTTTTTCGTTTTCGGGCGAAAAATCAAGTTTCTCCAATCTTCTCAAAACTCTGGATTATGATAGAGGGCCGCGAGACTTTGACCTGAGCGCAAAAATGGAGGCTCTAGACCCTTCCAGAGCTGAGATATCGAAACTCAAAATTTCGACCCGAAAAAAAAACGACAGTGTTACCCCTTACGTTTTTTTTCGTTTTCGGGCGAAAAATCAAGTTTCTCCAATCTTCTCAAAACTCTGGATTATGATAGAGGGCCGCGAGACTTTGACCTGAGCGCAAAAATGGAGGCTCTAGACCCTTCCAGAGCTGAGATATCGAAACTCAAAATTTCGACCCGAAAAAAAAAACGACAGTGTTACCCCTTACGTTTTTTTTCGTTTTCGGGCGAAAAATCAAGTTTCTCCAATCTTCTCAAAACTCTGGATTATGATAGAGGGCCGCGAGACTTTGACCTGAGCGCAAAAATGGAGGCTCTAGACCCTTCCAGAGCTGAGATATCGAAACTCAAAATTTCGACCCGAAAAAAAAACGACAGTGTTACCCCTTACGTTTTTTTTCGTTTTCGGGCGAAAAATCAAGTTTCTCCAATCTTCTCAAAACTCTGGATTATG